CTCCTCGTCTGCCTCCTCCTCCTCCTCCTCCTCCTCATCCTCCTCTGCCTCCTCCTCCTCTTCTGGCTCCTCCTCCTCCTCCTCCTCCTCCTCCTCCTCTTCTGCCTCCTCCTCTTCTGCCTCCTCCTCTTCCTCCTCCTCCTCCTCTTCTGCCTCCTCCTCTTCTGCCTCCTCCTCCCCTCCTCCTCCTCCTCCTCCTCCTCCTCTTCTGCCTCCTCCTCCTCCTCCTCCTCCTCCTTGTCCTCCTCATCCTCCTCCTGCGTGCGGACCAGTGTACGCTGAGTTCAGATGGACGCGCGGATCTGCCCTGCTGTGCGCTCCCCAGGACGGGGTGGGGAGGGTGGCCCCATGAGAAGCGGGGGACTTCTCTGAGGGCACCCCGCCCTCTTGGAAGCCTCCGCCCTCGTCTGAGAGGCACCCTGCCTTCTCAGAAGGCCCCCCGCCCCTCGCCCCCCCCCCCCCCCCCCCCCCCCCCCCCTCCCCCCCCCCCCCCCCCCCCCCCTCCCCTCCGTGCGCCCCGCCTTCGGGGACTGCCTGCGGCACGTAGAGCCCGCTGGCTCAGGCGCTCACGCCGCCTTCTCTCTGCACGCTTGGGCCTCGAGCTGTGGTCCTGTCACCTGGTATTCGGCCAACAGCCCAGAATGAACTTCAAGCTCACCCTGCTGTTGTCCCCCTGCTCGCCCAGCAACGTCAGCAATCGAAGTGCGGCTCGATAGATGCCCGTTCGAATATTATGTTTCGATGTACATGTCTGGACGCTGCAGTTCGGCCAGGCGGGGGCTAACAACATACATGTATACGTATATACATGTTCTACAACGATACATGTATACACATTTATTTGTATGCATTTACAGATGTGTGTGTGTACACACATGTACATCGACATGTGCCCACACACACAAATATTTGTTGATACATGTACAGCTGCGGGTATATAGTATCTTCTTGTTTGTGTCCATAGTAAGACCACGCGGGCTTATGCTCTAGCATGCTCTAGCTGTCGTCTAAAGTGTTCGGCATCGGATGGGCTCCTCAGGGAGCTTCACCTGCGGCCCCAGAGACAGGCTTGGCTTAGCGTCTCCGCGCCCTGGTCGGCATACCCCTCATCCCACAGGGAGCTCCACCTACGTCCCCTGAGACAAGGTTCGCAGAATTGTACGCCCATCAAGCGGATCGTGCCCCGCAAGTAACTGCATCTGCGGCACCAGAGGGGAACTTCATACCGTCGCCCAGCTCACTTCGACACACATGGGTCGTGGCCTGCAAAAAAACACGGGCGGTCCCAGAGACAAGGCTTGCATCCTGCCCCCCCTACTTCGGCGCACCCATCACACGGAACATGGCACACGGGGATCTGCATCTACGGCCCCAGAGACAGGGTCCGCACTGCGCCCCCCGTGGCCATTGCGGCACACCCCATCACGCAAATCGTGCCCATAAGAAACACCACCTAAAGGCCCAGAGACAAGGTTCGTACAGCGCCCCCGCGCCCATGTCGGCACACCCGTCACGCGAATCATGCCTCAAAAGGAGCCCCACCTATGGCACCAGCAGCTTCGCATGGCGTCCCCCCGCCCTTTGCGGAACATGCCTCGCACTGGTCGTGCCCGGAGGAGGTCCACCTGCAGCTTCAGTTGGCGTTTCCGCGCGGGGGCATCCGAATTATTCGGCACACCTTTCACGCGGATCGTGTTCCACAGGGAATTCAGCGCACCCGTGCACGCGTGCTCCGCAGCAACCATCTTTCCGCATTGCCCCGCGGCGCGCAGTGTATGAAGAGAGACCCGCGCTCTGCACTACACACGACTGCACAAGGATGGGCCCGTGGCCAAACACATTGGTTGCTTACGTGGCGATGCAATTTGGGCCTCCTGGGGTCCTCCCGGAACGCATCTTGGAGCCTTCTAAAGACGTCAGCGGGGCCTCTTGACCCGTCTCATTTTGGATTTTGCGGCCCTGCCAGGCCATCTGTCGCTTTTTGGCCGCCGCCAAAACTATTTGGGGAGGGGGGGGGCCGAGAGGCTCCGGAAGGGGTCAAACATGTCGTGGGCCCAAAATGGGGAACTCCGGGAGGGTGTCCGGGCCTAGTTTTGGTCCTCCTCCTCCTCCTCCTCCTCCTCCTACTCCTACTCCTTCTCCTCCTCCTCCTGCTTCCTTCCTTCCTTCTTTCCTTCCTTCCTTCTACATGTGACATGTGGGGACCTCCAAAGGGCCCCTTGGGGGCCTCGCAGAGGAGAGCGGCGATTACAAGCAGCACCCTCGACACCGAGTCCACTCGGAACGGGGCCGCGGGCCCGACCCCGGTTCCGCTGTGAACGGGTCCCCGGCAACGCTGCGCTGAATTGGAGTGTCCGGTGGGATGGCGCGGACCTCCTCATCCTCTTCGGTACTGGCGGCGGCAGTCATGTTCCTGGAAGGCTCTCTGGGAACATGGTGGTGTGGGCCGTGTTGGAGTCCTCGTGGAAGTTTCCGAGGTGCACCACGTGAGGCTGTAAAGCCCGAAGGACAGCCAGATGGAACCATTCGTAAATCTTGAGATGGTGGTGAAGCTTGGAAGTAAGATGGGGGAGGCGTAAGGTAACAAAACAACAAATTGTAGGAGCTGGGAAGGCCACAGCAAGAAATGTGAAAGGAGCGTAGGGTTTTGCGAAAGAGACTGGAATGGCCTTCGATCCATCTCGCCAGCGTGCCTGGGTAGAGGGAGGGATGTCGAAGGAGGCCTCGCGGGGGCATCTGGGGGGCCGTTGTTTGGCCTCTTGGGGGCCGTTTTGGAGCCTTCCTTCTGGGGCGTCGTGGGGGCCTCTTGGGGTGGCAGCCTCTGGAGGCCTTCGTGTGGCCTCCTGGGAGCCTCTTGGGGCGAAATATAAGAAATTTCGGTCCCACTCTTGAGCCCATCTTGGGGCCGTCCGTAGGCCCTGAGGCCGTCTTGGGCGCCGCATGGGGCGGAGCCCAATTGGGTCGTCCTGGGGTCCTCCTGGGGGCCCCTGGGCCCGTCCTGAGACGGCGTTAGGGCCTCTTGGGCCGTCGTGGATTGTCGGAAACTCGAAACATGTCCCCTCCCCCTCAAAAAACATCAAACAAACCCTTGGGAATCACAGATTTTTACCCTGCCCAGGGCCGTCCTGGCGCCTTCTTGGGGCCTCCTGGGAGCCTCCTGGGGAGAAGAAATCGACATTTCGGATCATGCCCCCCTCTTGAACCGATTCAGGGGCAGTCTTTCGGGCTTTTTGAGCCGTCTTGGGCGGCCCTGGGGCTGCCATGGAGCCCTGTTAAGGCTTCCCGGGGCCCTCCTGGGGGCCTCTTGGTCCTTCCTGAGGCAGTGTTGGACGCCTCTTGGGCCGTCTCGGATTGTCAGAAACCTGGAAGGTAGAGAACCTCCGAATCATTGAAAACCACGAGGAAGTCACATATTTTGACCTCTCAGGGCGCTCGTCTGGGGCCTCGGGCGCCCACTGGAGCCTGCCCAGGGCCGTCCTGGTGTCTTCTTGAAGCCTCTGGGGGGCCTCTTTGCTCCAAAGACTCGAAATTTCGGTTCGTGCTACCACTTTGCAAGCCATCTTGGGGCCGCCTGCAGGGCCTCTTGGGCCGTCTTGGGCGCCCATGGGGCCGTCTTGGAGCTCTGTTAGGCCGTCCCGGGGCTCTCCTGGGGCCTTTTGGCCCGTCTTGGGGCGGTCTTGTGGGCCTCTTGGGTCGTCTGCGAATGTCTGAAGCTCGAAAAGTGGAGGACCCCAAGAACATGGAAAAACCACAGGGAAATCATATATGTTTGTTTACTTTTGCCTCCAAGGGCACTCGTCTGGGGCCTTGGGCGCCCACTGAAGCCTGCCCGGGGCCATCCTGGCGCAGCCTTGAAGCCTTCGGAGGCCGTTCACAGGGCATCTTCGGCGCTCTTTCTTGTGGTGTGGTGGATCGGTCCGGTAGACTGTCGTACCAATGTGTGAGCCATCTGTGTGCCCACGATGACAGTTTGGGAGCCACGAGGGCACCCCTGGGGCCCCTGGGCTGCCATGTGTACCCGTGGCCGCGGTCCCAGGACCGTCCGCGGCCTTCTCCGATATATATATATATATATATACACACAAGACTGCAGTGGCGCTTCGCGCCACGCACCTTGGTCCTTGAAAATTGGCATGCAGGCGGAATAGCAGGAAGGTCAAGCCGACAATTTAGCGATAACTCATTGTTGCCCTTTTCTGGCATCGCCGCTATAATCATGTTATTCGTTATCCTTCCTCCATGCTTCTTTTTCCTCATTTTCGCCATACCCTGCGCATTCTCCCCATCCTCCTCTGCTCTTTTTTGCGGAGGCTCCTCCTTGGAGAGCCTTTGGGGGCCTCATAAAAGCTGTTTCAGGCTTTCTTAAGGCCTTCTGGAGGTCTCCTGGGCGTATTCTGGGGGCCTCTGGGGGCTTCCTCGGGCAACCATGCCTCCAACGGCGGTCTCCCTGAAGGACCGGGTCACGATTTGGAATGCTTCGGAGGGTGTCTTGGGGCCATCTTGTGCCGCCACGGGGCTCTCTGAGGGCCATCTTGGACCCGTGTTGTGCCGTTTTGGGGCTCTCTTGGACTGCCTGGAAGCCCTTTCGGATGGTTGTGGGGCGATTTTGGAGCCTCCCAACCGCCGTCTTGGAGAGTCGGGAAGCCGAAAAGAGGAGAACCCCAAAATTCACAAAAAACCTACAGAAAATCAAGGATGTTTGCCTCTTGGGGCCTTTTTGGGAGTGCTCTTGGAGGCCTCTTTGGGGCCGTCCTGGAGGCCTCTTGGGCCATCTTGAGGTCACGTCGGTCACTCTTGGAGCGCTCTTGTGCTGTCTTGGTGGTCTCTGGGACGTCTCCGATGACCCCCCTGATCGCCCTAGGTGTGCTGGGAAGGCTTGGCAAAACGCCCTGCGAGGCCCGGGGGGCCGCTTCGAGGCCCGTCCGGAGGGTCCCAAAGCCCCAGATCCTGGGAGTCCGGTTTTGGGGAGGGGGGTGGGTGGGGGGTTTTCCCCCCGCCCGGGCATATAAAAATTTAGGAAGAAGAATCTCTATCGGAGGTTGGGCTGTGGCTGGGCTGCGGCCGGACCAAATGTTTCTCCTCCAGCGGCCGGTGGCCCGCGGTGTCCCGCCGGCGTCCCGTGGTGTCTTGTGGTGGCCCGTGGTGTCCCGTTGAGTGAGATCGATATTGAGATCGATAGTGAGATCGATTTGATGCCCCGAGGTGTCCCGCGGTGTCCCGTGGTGTCCCGTTGAGTGAGATCGATAGTGAAATCGATAGTGAGATCGACAGGTGTCCCGTGGTGTCCCGTGGTGTCCAGTTGAGTGAGATCGATAGTGAGATCGATAGTGAGACCGATAGTGAGATCGAGAGGTATCCCGCGGTGTCTCGTGGTGTCCCGTGGTGTCCCGTTGAGTGAGATCGATATTGAGATCGATAGTGAGATCGATTTGATGCCCCGAGGTGTCCCGTGGTGTCCCGTTGAGTGAGATCGATAGTGAAATCGATAGTGAGATCGACAGGTGTCCCGTGGTGTCCCGTGGTGTCCAGTTGAGTGAGATCGATAGTGAGATCGATAGTGAGACCGATAGTGAGATCGAGAGGTATCCCGCGGTGTCTCGTGGTGTCCCGTGGTGTCCCGTTGAGTGAGATCGATATTGAGATCGATAGTGAGATCGATTTGATGCCCCGAGGTGTCCCGCGGTGTCACGTGGTGTCCCGTTGAGTGAGATCGATAGTGAAATCGATAGTGAGATCGACAGGTGTCCCGTGGTGTCCCGTGGTGTCCAGTTGAGTGAGATCGACAGTGAGATCGATAGTGAGACCGATAGTGAGATCGAGAGGTATCCCGCGGTGTCTCGTGGTGTCCCGTGGTGTCCCGTTGAGTGAGATCGATAGTGAGATCGATAGTGGGATCGACAAGTGTCCCGTGGTGTCCCATGGTGTCCCGTGGTGTCCCGTTGAGTGAAATCGATAGAAAGATCGATTTAGTCAGATGTTGGTTCCCCCCCCTCTCCCCTCCCCCAACCTCCTTATCACCCGAAGGGTGGTCGTATAGGTATATGTAGGTGTATATATATATATATGCACTTGTTGCTGCGGCCGAGTGTCCACGACCGAGGTCACCCAAACAAAACCACTTGTGCCCAAAAGGCTAAGTAAGGAGAGAGAAGATGAGAGAAAGAGAGAGAGATAGAGGAACAACTGCCACCCCCAAACGGCACGAGAACGACGTGCTGTTCAACAGAACTCGTCCCCCTGGGCTGCCGTGAAAAAGTAAGGCGCGTACAGAAGCCAACCGATAGAAATCACATGGCCCGTCCTGGAAACCTTGAACCCAAACATGTTGTCATCTCTTGGGGGCGCTTGTTTTACTTACGCCACCTTCCGCCGGCCTTCTGCTTGCTTCCGCCGGCGGAGCCAGCCCCGTTCTACTTCCTCTGGCTTCCGCCGAGGAGTAGATGACAACTCCTTCGATCCTGAAGGCGAGGCCCTTTCTGGGCGCCCAGAGATCCGTTGCCGTGTTTTTTTCAATCGTACGGGGTCCCCGGTAGTCTCGACCCATTCCCCCAGACCAATTTTTATCCTGAGTTGTTTCTTTGACGGCCCCGGGGCCCGGCGAGGGCCCCTAGAGGATGGAAACTACGAAAAACAAGCCCGCCTTGACTTTTTCAAGACGCTGGATCTCTGGGCGCATGGGAGCGAACACGCCCAAGGTCTGGCCATCGCTCGGACGTCCATTCCCTGTGCTTTTTTCGGTTTCGTGCGTGGTTTTTTCGCCAAATGATCAAGTATGCACCTCGATGGTCCTCGCCGAAGGAAAAATGCATGCGTCCGAACGATGCCAAGCCAAGGTGTCCGCAAGCTCGGGGTGGTGGGCCGGCCCACGAGGGCTTTTCGGCCGCCGCGGAGGCGCCCCGTGAGCCGTGCAGCCGCCCGCGGCACGAGCCTGAAGTTACCGCCGTCGCTGGCACTCCTTGGATCGAGTCGGGCACGTCCCTCTACAGGAGGAGTGGTCAAAATGATACCAGAGAAAACAAAAAACCCACTCATCATATTTTTAGGGATTCGGGGCTATGGGGCTATAGGGCTAGGGGGCCATAGTGCCATAGGGCTATAGGGCCATAGGGCCACAGGGCTATAGGGCTGTAGGGCTATAGGGCTATGGGGCTATGGGATATGGGGTTCTAGGGCTATAGGGCCATACCATAGGGCTATAGGTCTATAGGGCTGTGGGGCTATAGGTCTATAGGGCTGTGGGTCTATAGAGCTATAGGGCTACAGGGCTATCAGGCTATAGGGCTGTAGGGCTATCAGGCACCCGGGCACCGGGGCACCCGGGCACCCGCGCGTGCCGCCGAAATCGGCGCCATACCTCACCCAATCATATGAATCCGCGAGGACCCCCACAGAGGCAAGCTCTGATTGGGGAAATAATCATCAAAAAGTAAGCAGGGGACGATTCTGCGACTATTTTTGGACTATTTTTGAACATTGTTCGATTCTTCTTTTTTCGTCCAGAATCCGACTGTAGGAGGACACGCCCGACCTAATCCTTGGATGGAGTGCGCGGTCGGGAACTTTTGCTCACCTTGTTGCGGCGGCGGCCCCGGCGACACGCTTTGCCTTGCGAGTGGATAGCGTGTCGCCCCGCTCCGCGGGGCGGGAGGCCAGGGAAAGGGACGTTGACGCCCGGGGACTGGGATGCGGATACGCGTCGCGCCGAAGCGTGGAGGGCCCAAAGCGGCTCAAGCTGCGGGGCTCCAGAACCGTGTGGTGACGGGACCGCGTCGTGACCTCGGAGCCCGGAACGACCTCACCGCGCGGTCTGTCACTGCACGGTCTTGGGACCCTGGAGACCCCAGTCGCCCGAGACGTCCTCGGACAAGGGCCCGAATCCCAAAGCCATTCGGTGACCCCGAATCCCCACCGGCTCACCGCGCTGTGTGGTCACCACACCGCTTGAGGGCCCCCGAGAAGCTGCCTGGACCACATCCAACCATCTGGAGGTCATGGCACAAGCGCGCAATGCTCCGCCAGCTATGGCACTGTCGACGACGACGACCACGACGATGAAGACGACGAGGAGGACGAGGAGAGAGGACAACGACGACGACGACGACGACGGCGACGGCGGCGGCGGCGGCGTTCCAACATGTATCCCAACAAAGACCGCTCCGAGGAGGCCCCGCGGCTGCACTGCTGCTGAACGGCTTGGGGGCCATGCCAGTCGTAAGACCGTTGGCCGAGAGTGCGAAATCGAGCCGTTCCGCCTGCCTGGCAGGCGGGAGTGGGTCGAGTGGCACTGGGCACATGGACGTATTCGCGAGTACAGTCGGGGCGTTGACCTCAGGAACCCCAAATAAGGAACGAGGCCCCTTTTTGCCATAAGTTGAACTTCGATTTCCCATCGAAAACATAAGGAAAATCTGAGGCAAGCTGTGAAACAATTAAGGAACACGGATCCCCTCCCCAACGAAAAGGGTTCCTTCTTCAGGGACCCGACTGTAGCAAACACTCGCGGCACAATTCCCCGCTCACGTGGATTACGTCGACGACGCCTGGTCGATGCGGCAGTCGTCTCCAAAGATTGCCCGTGCCGGACAAAGCCTTGAGAAACGAGGTGGTCTGCGCCCTTGCATCACTTGTACGTTTCTGCGGCCCCACTCTTTGGTCCACTTGCATTTCCGAGCGCGGTCCTCAAGGCAGGATTGCAATTGACATGGTCGCTGCGTAGGCGGCTCCTTTCTGCGGCCCCGCTCTTTGCCTGCATTTCCGAAAGCGGTCCCCCAAGGGAGGATTGAAATGAATATGGCGGCTGCGCAGTTGATCGCAGCTGTGGTGCCACATCGCCAGCTTAGGCACACAAGTCCTCCCCCTGCTCGACGAGGGGAGGAGGGGGTTACCCCCTCCTCTCCCCTCCACCAGACGCCTCGGGAAGGGGGTACCCCCTCTCTCGACGCCGGGTGGTTATCTGCCAATCGCTCTAGCCTCAGGCGGCCGTTCGGGCACCCCCCGTGAGCTCTCGACGCGGCGCCACGGTTGGGAAGCATCCCGAGGCCGAGACGACCTCCCGGAGCCCGGCCGAGACCTCCCCCCCCTCCGACAGCCCCCGAGCAGCGGAGGCCCGTGCTCGGGCACCGGGGTGCCCGCGCCTGCCCCGAGCACCCGCGGGCCCCGCGCTGGCGCGGGCCCTCCCCCCGCGCCCCGCTTCCTCCGACAGGGCGTCGTCGCCAGCGGTGGTCGCTGGGGTCTCGGTGCCCGGGATGTGCTGGCCGCCTGCTGGCGGCGCGCGCGCGCGACGGGGGGTGCCGGGCGAGGGGGCTCGAGGATCGCGGAGGGATCGAGGTTCGACGGTCGAGCTCGGGGACCGGGCATCGGAGATCAGTCAGATGCGCGCGGGGGCGGCGGGGTTCGAGGATCGAGCAGGGATTGAGGTTCGACGATCGAGCTGGGGGACCAGAGGTCGACGATCAGTTAGAGGCGAGCATGGGGGGGAGGGTCGAGGATCGAGCAGGGATCGAAGTTGGACGATCGAGCTTGGGGGCCGAGGATCGTGGATCAGTTGGAGGCCCGCATGGGGGAGCGAGGATCGAGGTTCGATGTTCGATGACACGCGTTTTTTTTTTTTTTTTCTCGAAATCTTTGAGCCCTCCCAGGGCGCCCACTTGGCCAAAGGCTGGCTCCCATTCCCGTCCGCCTCCCCCTTCAACTCGTGTTCTATTCAAGGACGAATGTGAACTGCTCTGCTTTCAGCAGCGGCGACGGACTCAGAACACCTGATAGTCTAGATGCTGTAGGGTAGACTTCGATATGCGACCCATGTGCCAACTGGTACTTCAATTGAAATGCTGGCGATGGCCCCCGCCTGCAACTGATACATCTGGTCAGATATAGAATCCGTGTTCACCGACACATAGCGCAGATAATGCACAGTGGCCATGTCCATGACTGACTCCATTCGGTACCATGTCGCAGGATTCATGGGTCACGTCAAGTGGTGCACCACTGGCGCATACCCTCGTACGCTCACTTGGTATAGGCCGTGCAGCAGGTACTTGGACTGCACGCGCGTGAACAACGATACTCTGAACGTTCACCCACTTCAACCCTAGCGCCCGCGATGCAATTTAGTACGTCCATGGACGAGACTAATATGCTCGTGCTCGTTTTCCATTTCGCGCTATATAGTTCAGCATCCGTTTGCCTTTCCACGGGGCCCATCTTCTCCAGCAGCCAAAAGGTACGACGATTCCCAGCCCGGCGTAAGCGGCGCACCAAATTGGATCGATCACTGCAAAGAGTTTCGCGGCAGGAACAGCGGCTGCCGTGTGAGTATACCTGAGCCAAATCCAGTGGGTCGTGCCGTAGCAAGCGGGCGCGCCAAGACGCTGCGATACTCGTGAGATGACTGCAAACATAGCAGACGAACCATCTCCGCCATCCAGTCAACGACGCTGCCCACATGCAAGTGATCAAATACTGTTTTATGCCCAAGATCGTTCAACGCTTTGATTCGGGACCTCAAACCAACGTGACCTCTTCCTGGAAAGTTTTGGCTGTTGGTGTACCTGGGGAGCCATCAATGGACAGTGCGAATAATGCAAGCCATCCATTGCCGTCATCTATGTACTGGCCCATCAAGAAGAACAGTAGTGTCGGAACGGTCTGATAGAGCGTCGCGAAGTATTATAAACCTCGTCCCAGGAACACACCCTACACTCTTAGTCGCCTCGGCTTGTAGAACGCCTGAGCATATGTTGCGCATGTTTGCACCCGAATGTTGACGAAGAGCTCGAAAAATCCTACGCGACTTCATATTGAGAATTCGACGGCTTCGTCCGCGCCTCCGTACAATAAGCACGAGTACGTTCGCCATGGCATTGGTGAGACTCGCGCGTGATCCAGGCCCAACCTCAGGAACTGCTGTGCACATTCGGAGATCGGGATCCACTGCCTGCACCTGCTGGTTAATCGAGAGACGAACCATCGGCCAGAGGGCCGCTCTACTGTCCAGCGCCATGCCGAGGTACCTGTAACGATGCGCAAAGTGAATGGTGGTGATCCAGTTGGGCGTGAGAAGCAAAGCCTGAACATGGCCCTCAAGCGTCCGTCAAAGTTGGGTCCGCTGCGCATGATGAGACCATCGCCGCGCTCTTGTTCGCATCGCAGCATGAAGAACTCCAGCCGTGACCCCAACAATACCGATCGTTTCGAGCACTGGCGTTGGAGAGATAAGGAAGACACCATCATCGACATCGGATCCTTCATGGGGCTCGACAGGCTCACATCCTTCCGGGAAAACCCTCCACATCCCAACTGAGCAATGGTCGAATGCCGTTCTAGCTGCCATCGATGGAGAGCGCTCAAAACTGAAGTGGGCACGGAATCTGTCAACAAAGTCCCAGGCCTCGAGCCGCGCCCCGAACGTGCCGCATCGCCTCCAGGTCGGGTGGCCGATTTCGTATGACGACGAGCTTCGATAAGAAGTGCTGGCGCGCGTGGTCTACCTCTCAGCTAGTGGAGTACGCGTGACTGCTCTCGGGCAACAGAGTAGCGCGAAAACACAATCTGCGGAAAGCCATGGCTGTCCAAGGCGTAACAGTCGTCGTCCTCTGCGTTCTACGACGGGAGCACCAACGAGCGCATAGTAGGAATATGGCGCCAGCGTCAAGTCAACGAAATTGATCACCGCGTTGTGTCCTCTGCGTTTGACCGCTACCATGTGCGCGGTAAGAAATGGAACCAATCGCCTTGCTCCGCGCCGCGGCCGCCCACCGCAGTGGGTACCTCGCAGCGCCAAGCCCGACAAATATGGGGTCTGCTGTCGTGGACATCTGCCCTCCCTGCAAGGTGCTGCTGCCATTTATGATTTTGTCGCCAAAACTGCACCGCTTGAGCGACGGTTGAGCAATGCCGTGCTTTCACGACAACGGCCCCTGGTGCAATGCAGGGATCTTAGCGAAAAGAGGGCCGTGGCCATTGGCGCACAGTGCCGAGCAACATCCTGCCGCGTCTCCCGAGATCGGACCCCTCCCCGCCGCCATGTTGCCTGTGCAAACATGGTGGCGGCCATTTGCAGATCGGATCCCGAATCTGAATCGAGCCGCGTGCCATCTTAGCCGCGGCGAGGCTTTCCTTAGCAGCGTGACTGTAGCAGCTCCGGTGCCATGACCTCTGCGCCCCCCGCTCGCGCAAGCGATTGCAACATAAGCTGGGAATCCTGCTTGCCAGTGGTGGCCGATGTGCCGCCGATGGCCTTCATCCTGATAAGGGGGTGCGCTGCGTCCTGCGCGGCCTCCGAAGCGCAGTGCCGTCTTGGATGTTCCCCATTCCTTGTGGGCGTCGCCGTCTTGATCGCGCCCCTCCATCTCCATCGCCACGCTGTCAGTCAGTGCTCCTCGATCTTTCATGATCACCCTTCAGATAATCGGCCCAACCGAAGTAACGAGCAACTTCGATGGCCGTATGAAGCTCCTGGTTGGTGTACATGCTCGCGCCTCAGCTATTTCCGCGGGCGCGCGCTATCGCGCAGACACTGGCGGGAGAACGGCCTTCCGAGGTGGGTCAGCCTCGGTAGACGTGGAGAGCCACCTGCGCGCGCGAGCAACATGTCGTCTTGGTCGGATTCGAGCCATGGTGGCACTCACAACGTAAAGACTGCGAGTGGTGTATCTGTTATCCCAAAGAAGCGCTGTGCGCGCTGAGCGGACTGGCCCATCTGCGCTGTCTCCATGACCGTTGACTTCTGCCTGCCACATGCACACCATCGTTCCGCCAAGTATCGCCGTGACCTGCTCCCGTCGAGAGGGATCTGGCAATTTCAGTTATTCAAGCCGCTTCGACACAATCTGCATGTCATTTGTGGCCTGCGCTCGAATCTGAAACTCCATCTTCGCGTAAACTGAAAAATGGTAGACTTCCGCCGCGTTGCCGTTCATGGATTTGTCCAGCCAGAGTTTAATAATATCGTGGCGCCTCGCATTGGCCACCAGATTGTCCATGACCTCATTCGCGCTATGATTGCGCTCGTTGGCGACGAGCGCGTGGCCACCCACGCGACGGCAATGGGCCATCCAATGGAATCTAATAGAGAAGTGTGCCCGTCGCGTCGTCCTGGAGTCGCGTCGAAGCTGGGCGGGGCTGGCCTATCATATCCAATTGATCTTTGCCCGCCAACCTCATGTTGGAGTTTATTGTCGCGCTCGCATCTCCCAAGATAAGCGAAGGCGGGTGCTTCGCGGCCAAGTCGCGTAACTTTGCCCACCAGAGAACAAGCGATGTCTGGGCCGGTGGCGCGGAGCAATTGCGATCAGTCATGCGACGGCTCTCTTTCTTAACCGCCGGCAATCTCGGGTCGCAGCGCGGGGCGCCCGCGCCGCTCTCGCTGTCGCGCTGAAGGGGCGTTCGCGATGGCACGGGGGCGGCCGCGGCTGCCGCCCCCGACGCCGCTCCTGGACGAACCCTGACTTGCGCATGCTGAGGCGGTTGCGTTGTAGAAGATCCGTGGCCAGCTAGGCTACTTGGCCAAGTAGTAGCGGCGGCGCCTGTGCCGAGCGATGGACTAGTTCGATCTGCCACGTCTCGTGCCCCTGCACCTCCAACTTCCTCGGGGTCAGCATCGCGCCCGGCGGTGCTTCTTCTGCGTGGGCCGCTGCAACTCCGCTAGAGACCCCCTCTGAAGGTGGGCCTGGTATGTCGCGTCGTGCCCTATCGCCCCTTCCTCTGCCATCTGAAGAAATGCCACCCTCGCCAGGCGCGCCATCGGGGTTCTCGGGCACCGCGGATTTGTCTCTCAGTGGCAGCCTCGGCGCCGAGCGGCGCGCTCGAAGCTTCGCCTCCGTGCTGTCGGCGCGAACGCTTCCCGCAGAGCTCGTTCAGCGTGCTCGCGGCGCGGCCCAGCCCCGCCGAAAACCGCGCGAACTTCTCCCCTTTGGTCATCTCCTCGCTTCTATCGCGCAGGATCTGTGGGGGGGGGGCCCGCTGGCGGCGCAGGTTTCTCCTGCTCCTCCATCTCGTCGTCTTGTGATTTCCTAGCAATGAGGGCCTGTCTAGCTCTGGGCGTTCTCCCATTCGGCGTTTCGACATTGCGCGGAGGGGGGGGGGGGGGGCGTTCGGCCCCGGACCTCTGCTCTGTGTGATTGTTTGGAACAGTGCTCCCATGGGGAGTCCCTGGGGGAAGCGGGCCCCCCGCGCTTGCTCCACCTGGCGCCTCCAAACAGCCGGGATCCACAGCGCGGGGGGGGGGGGGGGCGAAGGCCTGCGCCGATCGACAAAACGTTGCGCGGAAAACGATCACCTTCTCAATTGCCTTTGTTAGCCGATGTTCCACCTGCCTGGCGCGCGCCTCCATCCTCAGATCCCCTGCGTCGCATCGCTGCTGGGCCGGCGGCTGCTGCGCCTGTGCCCCTGGCGCCGGTATACGCAGGGTAGGCGGCGCTCTTGCAGGTGGACCAGCTCATGGGAAAGCCTCAGCTAGAGAGTATCCTTGACTCGCCTCCGACCTGGCCCAGCTGCGCCCGAGCGCGAGCCCGAACCCCTCTGACAACTCCTGCTCCAGGCCCAGCGTCGCGCAGTCGTCGTTCGTCAGATATTGCGCAACAGACCCCCCTCCAGGGGCGCCGATTCCATTGCGAGCGCAGGGCGAACGAATCCAGAGGTCGGGGATGATATCTTTTATCGTCTCCCACCGTTGCGCCCCCCCTGCTGCTGCTGCTGCTACCATTACCACTACGACTACTACTACTACTACTACTACTACTGCTACTACTATTACTACTACTACCACTACTACTACTACTACGACTACTACTACTAGTACTACTACTACTACTACTACTACTACTACTACTACTACTACTAATACTACTACTACTACTACTACTACTACTACTACTACTACTACTACTACTACGACTATCACTACTACGAAAACAACTACTACTACTGCTACTGCTACTACTACTACTACTACTACTACTACTACTACTACTACTACGACTACTACTACTACTACTACTACTACTACTACTACTACGACGACTACTACTACTACTACGACTACTACTACGACTACTACTACGACTACTACGACTACACGCGCTACAACTGCTACAACCTACTACTGCGACGACGACGACGAATCGCAGCCCGAATCGCGAGCCGCCCTCCGTCGATCGAGACCCCTGATCTTTTATCTCGCGCGCAACCGGGCGCCCCCGGGGCGCCCGGGGGCGCCCTCGGGCGGCCGCGGCTCGCCAACGGGTGACCTTTCGCCGGCCTGGATTGCCGGCCCCCCGCTCTGACTCGTCAGCCGTCGGGCCCCTCCTGGCCCCCCGGGCGCCTCGGGGGCCAACTCGACTTGTTGTCCGTCCGTGGGCCGAGCTGCCTCTCCCAGCGTTGCGGGGGCGCCCTGGCTGGCGAAACTGATTTTGTTTGCCGTTCCGCCCCAAATCTATGTTTAATCGCTTACTTGCACTGCTGACCCTCAGCGGCCATCTCCTCGACCCGCCCCCCCCTGCTATTCTGCCGGCTCGCGTTCAAGCCGAGGCTGTGAAAACTCCTCTTGCCGTCTGCGATGCCCCTGCAACCTCCATCTCCGACTTCGTGAAGAGACGGCGGCGCCGCCCCCCCCCCGCTCCATGTGCGATTCCTTCCCCGCTGCCCCTCTGGTGCTGCGTTGCCCCCGACGCGCGCGGTGCTCGATTCTGCTTCATCCCGCAATGGTTCTTGATCGCCGCCGAGTCCGCGTTCGTAGTGGCCGCCCAACTTCCCCGCATATACACAATACCATATTCGCGTTGCCAGCCAAGGCCGCCGCCCCCCCTCGATAGCGCTGGACCAACTTGCCGCTTTGTTCCTGGTGACCCTGCTTTCCATGACGTCTCCGGTCTGCCATCTCATCCGCGCGCGGCCCTTCCTTCCGTTGAACGTGCGCTTCAAGTTGAACCAATCGAATCGCTGCAAACTCGTCTCCCTGCTTGTTGAGTAGGCTCATATGATGGACCTGCTGTTCGGCGCTCTCCATTCGCACCTTCTTCCCCGCAATCATGCCCCCCCCCCAGCCCGCGAGCCCGCGCTTCTGAATGCGCTGCGCATGCTGTGCCGGCGCCTCATGAACATCGCGCTGCATGCTCATGTTGCGCCCTGCCGAAGGCGAGGGCAACGCTGGCGATGTAGCGCCGGGGGGAAGTTATGCGGGCATTATCTGGGCTTCATGTCGCCCAGTCGTCTTTTTGACTCACGACGCTGGTTAAAGCGAAGGCCCTGGCCCCGCCGCCCCCATCGGCGGTCTAGGAGGGCGCCGCCTGGGGAGACCTGGCGCGGCATATCATGGCGGTGGTGGGGGTGGGGGAGGTGGGAGTGACGCTGCGGCTGCTTCCGAATTCGAAGTGCGCGGCGATGCCTTGTGCGTCGACCTCTACGGCTGGCTCGCGGATCCAACTTTTTGCCCCGCCTGAATTGCCAATGCGCGCCGCCGATCATGCCCTCCATCGACGCGCGAAGTGGTGCTCTGGCCTGGAAGCTTCGTCTTTCCGTCGGTGACCGCCTCCTCCAACAACTCATCTCAGCACATCTTCGTATGCTGTGCTTGTTGTGTGTCGCCTTCGATCATCTGCTGCTGACGTGCTAGGTCGCGATGTCTTCTGATCGGCTGATCGCAGCTAGCAGCCAGGGCTTCTTTTTCGCATGCACTTGGAGCTTTTGCCTGCCACGTAATGTGTCTCGGTGCCGATACTAATTGTCCTGCTCCGCCATGCACGGTGAGGCGCGGTTCCTCATTGCAATAACCTCGCCGACTCTGCCCATCTTGGTGTACAACGCGTCCCTCCCCCTCTGAAGATCTCTCCCCGTCGGTGCGAATTTCAAAACGGGGTGCATCTGTGCATGCAACTGGATGCATGTCATCGTGCTCGTCACAACATATGTGGTTTCCGTCGCCACATTGTTTAGTTCAGTCCTTATTTGCTGTGACTCCTGCAACTTCTGCGGGCTTGAAATCTTAATCGTGTGGCACTTCTTCGTCCTGGAAGGCCAATCTTCTCAGCTCTGCGAAGGCCCACCAAACATGCAACTCCAGCGTCCAACCATTTTGCCAACAGACTGGTGGTGCTTCAAGAAAGTACGTGCCGCGTCTAATCGTAGTCACAGCTGGGCCTGTCCCCGAAGTCGCATGTCAGGGCGGTGCTAAGCTGATTCTGGCCGCTTAGCTGCTCTGAGGCGGCGCCTCCGCCGCCGCCGGTGGCCGCCGCCGCAGGGAGGGGATGTGGGGGTATCCCCCCCGCACTCCGGCCCCTATGGCAAGCGCCGCGCTGCCACCGCCCGCGCGAGGGGCCCCGCAGGTGACCCCACCCCGAACGGGCAACGGCTCTCTTATTCATTTCCATTTGGTACGTCGAACCGTTCCAAAAAATGCTGATCGAAACGATCGCCGCGTCTGGACGTCCTCTTCCTCCTCCGTCTTTCTTACGTTGCACAGGCTCTGGCTGCCTCGACGTAACGTCAACCTTCCCCCCCCTCTTCCTCCTCCTCCTCATCCTCCTCCTCTTGTTCTTCTTCTTCTTCCTCCTTCCCATTCCCCTTCCGCCTTCCCCCGCCTTTGTCCTTTTCATTTCCTCTCCCTGTTGCTCAGGGAAAAAAGGAAGAGGAAGACGCCGAGCGAGAAAAGCCGGGGGAGGGATAAAAGGGGAGGGAGGGAAAGAAGAAACCTGGATGTGTAGGAGGGGCGGGAGGGTGGGGGAGGTTGGGGGCAGGGGGACGAAGGGGAGGGGGAGGACTGGGGGATGGGGAACGAGGTTCCTGGAGGTCCCCTGGAGGTCCCCAGGGGCTCAGAGAAACGTCGGGAAGCCTCCCAAAGTGTCGAAATCCTCCTCCTGCTTTTCCTGCTCTCCTCCCTCCGCCGCCACCGCCACCACCGCCGACGACACCGCCGACGACGATGACGACGACGACGATGACGGCGACGAAGACGACGACGAAGACGGACGACGACGACGATGGCGGTGGCGACGACGACGACGACGACGACTACGGCGACCGACGACGACGACTACGGCGACGATCGTGACGACGACGACGACACCGCCGCCGACGACGACGACGATGACGGAAAAGAAGGCCCCGCGCCTCTGAGGCGCGCCTGCAGCACCCCCCGGGTCACTATCTTGTTGGCCTCCGCCAGGTACTGCTTGGCCATGAGCACCTGTGGCCGCTCTTGGCCCGCAGGCTGGCCGGCGCCGGCGCCCGGCGCAGGCGCCGCCGGCGCTGCCGCCGCCGCCGCTTGTCGTCGTCCTTATCGTCGCCAGCGCTGTCGTCGTCGTCGTCGTCGTTGTCGTCGTCGTCGTCATTGTCGTCGTCGGTCGTCGTCGTCGTCGTCGTCGGTCGTCGTCGTCGTCGTCGTCGTCGTCGTCATTGTCGTCGTCGTCGAAGCCCGTCGTCGTCCGTCGTCGTCGTCGTCGTCGTCGTCGGTCGGCAATCGTCTTCGTCGTTTCGTCGTCGTCGTCGTCGTCGTCGGTCGTCGTCGTCTGTCGTTGTCGGTCGCATGTCGGCGTCAACGAAGCCGCCATTGCCGCCACCTTTACCGGTGGGGTCGTCGTCGTCGTCGCTTCCAGACATCCGGCGTTTAGACTTACTTGCGACGCGGGAATCAATTCTCACTCCAAATCATTTACCATTTGTCCTGGGGCCCAAAACAAACCTCCAAAGGCCGAGATTAAGGAAAAGCCCGGCACGATTTGTCCGTGACGCCTAAAATGTGAGGGTCGTCGTCGTCGTCCTTCTCGTCGCCAGCGCTGTCGTCGTCGTCGTCGTCGTCCTCGTCGTCGTCCTCGTCGTCGTCGTCGACGTCGTCCTCTTCTTGGCCGGCGCTGGCCGCAGGGAATGTTGCTGTGCCACGGCCTCCTGGACAAAAAATTGCGGCTCTGGCCAATGGTTCTGGGCCCCCAGAGGCCTCGGGGGGGCCTCCTTGGGCTTCTGGGGACCTCCAGAGAGCTCCGGGGATTTTTGGAGACCTCTGGGAAGAGAGACGTCCTTCTTTCCTTTCTACCTGCAGTCAATATTTCTCTTGCCTACTTCTCCAATCCAGTCCTCCTGCCCACTCCTCAGACGGACGGGGGGAGGAGGAGGAGGAGGAGGAGGAGAAGGAGGAGAGTTTCGTCTCGAATTCCCACTCCTTAAGACTGATTATTGATTCCCTCACTGGTGCCCATTGCGTTTTTCAATTGAAGTGCTCCCGCCCCCCTGGGGCTCGCACCCTATTTTACACAATGGAACATCTGCCTGCTCAAACTGCAACAACGACTTCCGCCTGATACCTCCTCGCAGTGCATTATTATATCGCGTTTTCGCTAGATGCTTCCTCACGCTTAATTCAGAATCAACCTCTCGTATTCAATCTCTTTGTCATTTCTCCAGGCGCCGCGCTCTTGACGCTGAAAACCGCGCTCCTGCGCGATACTTGAGCGCGTTCTCGCCTGGAGGATTCTCAGCACGTTCCGAATAATTCCGCTGCGCTCTACCACCCGACACGCCCGTGAAAGTCCGCTTTTCGCCAGCTTGGAAGCCTGCCCGCCTGCTGAATTGCCCCGCCCGGCCCGCCCGTTAGGGTCCGCTTGCTTGGAAGCCCGCCTGCCCGTTGAAAGTGCCTCGCCCGCGCGGCCCGCCCGTGAGAGGACGCCCGCCCGACCCGCCCGTTAGGGCCCGCCTGCCCGACTCACCCGTTAGGGTCCGCCTGCCAGTCGTCCTGCTCCTCTCGCTCCCTCCTGCTGAACCTGTTTTGGCCTTGAATGTTCCTCCCGTCCTCTTGCCTTCCTGCTCGTCCTTCGTACTTTCTTGCCCCATCTTCCTATCTTGGGGGCCGCGCCGACGGCACGTGGCAGGCAAGGGAGGCCGCACCCCTCAAAGAGGTACAGCCGAAGACGAGGAGGGCGGTTATCGAGGGTTCGGGGGTATACACGATGAGTGGCGCGCGAGTATCGGCGAGCGATCATTCAGCAAATGGTTGTTGTTTCGTGGTTGCTGCTGTTTCGTGGTTCAGCATCCCCCTTTCTTAAGCTATTACAAACATGAAATGAACCGAAAGCAACAAATGGTTACTCTAGCCCTCGGAATTTTCACGCGACGAGTAAAACAACTTTTTGCACGCCGTCGTTGTCGTCGTCGTCGTTCTCGTCGTAATCGTCGTCGGCCGTAGCCATCGTCGCCAGGAAGGAAACGGGGAGAAAGGAGGAGGACGAGGATGGGGCAGCAGGAGGACGACGGGGAAAACGAGGAGGGGAAGGAGACGAGGAGGAGGAGGATGATAAGGAGGAGGAGGACGAGGACGAGGACGACGATGATGGTGATGAAGGGGAGGAGAAGAATGAGGAGAAGGAGGAGGACAAAGAGGAGGATTATGTGTTTGTTCATCTACCGATCTGAAAGAGCAAGTGTTGTACCGCCCTCCCACAGTCGAGGCAACCTGAAATAGCGCCTTGCGTCCAATAACGATTAACGTGTGATGCGACCACTCTGGCTCGTGACTCTTCCATTATTGGAGGAGTAATGCAACAACCTTCCAGTCCATCTGGTACTGCTGAAAGAAAACGAAACCATGTATGCATCATGATGCCATGGTGAGAACCAGCCATGATGCTGCCTGCTCGAAACATTGTGCATTGTGCATGTTTAAAAGGCCCTTCAATGTACAGCTCCATCTGTACACTCGGCATAATAACAACTCCAGGCAGCTGCCCATGAGCTGGCCAACGTGTCCAAAATATCGGTGCGTACGCCGAGCAGCGACCACGTCAAAATCAGCAAAACCGTTCTCAAACTTGTTCCTCAGAAAACGTCTTTGTCTACGACAATCAGGCTTATCGACTTCACCGTGATGCCGTGAAGACGGAGGTGCTGCAACGCGCCGCTATCCTGGACTGCTTGCACATTCTGAGCGGCCTGATGATAGTAGGTCCACGCTCCAGCTTCGTGGACAAGCAATTCCACTTGATGAGTCCACACCACTGACGATGATGATGATGATGATGATGATGATGCTGATGATGATGATGATGCTGCTGGCTCTGATACTCATGCTAATGCTGATGATGATGATTATAATGCTACTGCTGCTGATGCTGATAATGGTGATGATGCGGAGGAGGAAGCGGAGGAGGAGGAAGATAAGGAACAGGATGGCGATGAGAAGGAGGGGGTGACGATGATGATTACGACGACGAATGTGATGATGGTGACGATGATAACGAGGAGGAGGAGGAGGAACAGAGAAGGAAGAGGGGCGGGTGATGTTCGGAAGCCTGAAGAGGTCTGTGCGTGGTTTCTGAAGGGTTTTGGAAGCCTTCGAAGGTTTACGAACACTTTCACAGGATGAGGACGACGAGAACGACGCCGATGGAGAGGATCATTCAGACTCCCATCTGCGAATGGGAAGCAGAAAGTCTGCCTGCGTTGAATAAGCGGTGCAATTCTCCATGTCCTTCTTGAACGTGAAGACGGAGTCGTCTAGAACGGGCCTCGGTTGACCCCCCCCCCTTGGCAATCGTATATTGAACAATCAAGCTCCTGCAGCCCTCTCTGAAGCTGGTGAGGCACTGGCACTCCATTCGACCTTTCCTGGCCTGGCATGTTGAGTCAGTGGTTTCTGATATGGGAACGCTTTCGAACTCAGTTTCGTCTCGCTGCCAGGGATCTGGCCCAATCCAATCCCAAGGAGATTTCCTGGGCCTCGCCCTACCATAAATCCAACTAACCAGCTGTGCTTTTGGGAAGCACGTAAACAAATTCTGTCCAAGCGGGGACCTGTACCTGCTCGCTTCGTAGCAGGCAGGGGGTGAAACAGGGTGAAAGCTGGCCAGAGTAGAAAAGAGGAGGCGAGAACATGAAGTGTGCAGTGCAATTGTCGTTTTCCTCAGCATGGCACACAACCCCTACCTTCTGATATCACGTCTCGACAGGCACACTGAAACGACTCGCACTGCCACTGAAATATGTCCCCCCCCTCCCCACGGCACTGAGAAGCAAAGCAAGCGGCCTGATGCATCTGTGGTTGCCTCTCGAAGAGTGCAGTCGAAGTGTGCAGTGCAAGATTTTCTTGGAGCAGTGAACACATACGAGCTCTTCGCCTGCAAAGCCGAATCCACGTCCTAGCTGCAGGCAGAGGTGCACCGCCAGCACGCTACGCGACGGGTCGCTGACAAGAAAATGAAGCGCCGCAGCCTGCCTGAAGAGGCTTGTTATCTGTGTGTGTGTGTGAGTGCGTGTGTGTATGTGTGTACTTGCCTGCCTTGCGTTCGCTTGCACTCGAATGCGCTCGCACTCCGGCCATTGGCCCACTGTCACCGCTGTGCGGCAGAGCGCGCAGCTGCCGGGGATAACATGTGTGTATATGTATAGATGTGAACATATGAATGTACATACACCTATATACATACACACATACATACATACATGCATACATACATACATACATACATACAAGCATACGTATATACATACACACCGGCATACATACATACATACAAGTATGTATTTATACTTTGCAACTATGCGATCATGCATACATGTACATATATACATACATATGTATGCATATGTATGCAGAGAAACCAAGTCAACCATATGTATGTATAGGTACGCAAGCGTATACATAGACATATATGTAGTTATCAGTACATCTGTATATGGATATAGATACACCTTTCCTCGCGATGTTGCCGCCAACTCGCCGCACGAGGAAAACTGCGCAGCTCTCCCCTGCAATGTGAGCGGCAAGAGCCCCGAATGTGGGCGGCGCCGAGGCGAGAGCCACAGCCCCAGCTTCGAGCGCGGGCCGCGCCGTGGCGCGAGCCCTCGGGGAGCCGCAGGGCCCAGTCCGAGCACCGCGCGTCGGCGGCGCTGCGGGGAGAACGCGACCGTGGGCGGCGTTAGGCGAGAGCCCTGGTGCAGTGCTCCAGTCGGGTGTTCGTCAGCGTAGAGGCCATAAGCGTGGGATGAAGAAGGGCGCACGTCCCGGGGCTCTGAACGGCCCCTTTGGGGGGCCCCCAGGGGCCCCTGAAGAGGGGCTCCTTTCCTGCTGTCCTCGATTCCCCTGCTTTCCTTGCCCCCACGTTGCCGACCGCCCGACGGAGAAGGGGGCGGCGCTGCAGCGAGCCCCGCTCCGAGCGTTCCGAGCGAGAGCGCTGGGCGCCGAAGCGGGAACCCCATCCCTCGGTGCTCAGCGCGCGACGCGCGTGCCGGCTGGGCGCCAAGAGAGCAGAGAGCCCCGATGCACCGCGCGTGCTCGGGCCAGGTGCTGCGGCACTGGGCGGCCAGCGTGCTGCCCTGGCGGGGGGGGTGCCAGAGCGCGTCGGCGCCGCACGCCACGGAGAGCCGCCCGTCGCCAGGGCCGCAGGGCTGCCCCTGGCCAGGACTCCACTGGAGAGGCTCGGTGGTGCGAAGGGCGAGGGGCGCGGGGGAAGAGGGCGAAGGGGAGCCGGAGAAACGGCTGGACTGCTCGCCGCTCGCAGGGCCACGCTGTGTCCTCGCCATCGCTCGGACGTCCATTCCCTGTGTTTTTTTCGGTTTCGCGCGTGGTTTTTTCGCCAACTGATCAAGGATGCTCCTCGATGGTCCTCGCCGAAGAAAAAATACACAAGTCCGAGCGATGCCAAGCAAGGGGAAGAGGGCAGAAGGGGAGCCGGAGAAACGGCTGGACTGCTCGCCGCTCGCAGGGCCACGCCGTGTCTTCCTCTGGCAGCATTCCAAGTCGTGTGCCTGCCCTGCACCGCAGGGCGCCGCCGTCGGTGCATCGCCCGCGCGGCGGCAAGCCTGTTCGTCGGCGCCGCTGCAGTAGAGCCACGTAGATGGTTTGACCAAGTCTGTGGAGGTCCGAGCCAGAGAATCGCGTCCGAGTGGGCCCCGGTCTGTGGGGGTGAAGGGAAGGCCGCCAGAGCTGTCAGAATAATGCCACCACAACAAGATCTACGACGGTGGGGGCACTCGTTAAGGACTGTGCCCAGGAGGCTTCAGACCCTAGACGATTCCTTGTCTGATGATGGCAGCGGTGGTATCCATGGTCAAGCCTCAGTTGGGGTTCCACCTGGCTTCCAGACCCTGGATTCCTTATACAATGGCTCCTCATCTAATACCCTCACCCTATAGCCGTTTCGGCGCGAGCTGGTTTCTTGAGCTGGTCTCAGCTCGCGTTTGTGCTCACTTACTTCGAAGCGGCGGAGTGGGCACGAGCCATTCTTTCACGACGACGGCCCCACCCGCGGCAGCCCGTGGGCCATGGCGCCGGCACTTTCGGACCCTGGCATCATCCCAGGCGCGAGCAAGACACCCCTCTGGGCTTGCTCCTGCGGGCGGGATGGCAACTGGGCGTCCAGGACGCGCTGCCGCCAGTGTGGCAAGGCGGCTCCCACCCACGTGGTGCAAGCAGCCAAGCTCTCGGCAGCAGCAGCCAACGGGCCAGCTCCCAGCACGTCTCGCCCGCGCGGGGCCTGGGCGCAGGGCCCGCCAGGCCAAGGTCAGCTACTGGCGCAGCTGCAGCAGCTACAGAAGCAGGTGGCGGAGCTCAAGGGCGAGGCCCCGCCCCCGTCGGAGCCCTGGAAGGGACGCAAGCCCCCGTCCAGGAAGGCGCCCGAGGCGGAGGCAGGCATCTCCTTCAAGGAAGTTCGCACCTTCTTGGAGAAGCAAGGGCTGGACACCAGCGCGGTCGAGGAGGCTGAGAAGGCGGCGGAGTCGAAGTTGCTCGAAGGCAAGCAGCCAACGGCCCAGACGCAGCGCTGGCGTGTCAAGGCCATGCGTGACAAGATCAAGAAGCTCGAGTCCAGAGAGGCAGCAATTGTGGAGCAGCAGGCCGCTTTGGACAAGGAGCTCCAGGAGCTCAGGGTCGCCCTCAGCGAAGAGAACCAGAAGCTCTCGGAGGGGGAGGCCAAGCTGGTCAAGTTGCAGGCCAGCGAGTTCCCCGACCCGATCCTGGCAGTGGCGGCAGGTCTGGATGAGGACGTCGTCGCCTGCCAGGAGGCCAAGGATGCCCTCGCGGTCCTGGCCCGCTTGCAGTCCGCGGCCAGCGACAGCAAGAAGGCAGCTGCCTCGGCCAGGGCCGCTGCTGCTCCTCCTGGTCCTGCTGCTGGGGAGCCTGACGCGGGCGGGGAGCACCAGCCTGTGCCAGAATCAGACGACATCGACATGGAGCTGCTCGGCGGCGAAGGCTGGGAAGAGAAGCACGAGGAGTTCGCTGCAACTTCGGCAGCCCTCCGTGGAGCGACCCCTGAGCAGCGGGAGGAGGCCAAGCGCAAGCTGCGTGATGCCCTGGACGCGCTCTGGGCGGCGGGCAAGCGGCCTCGTCACCTTTGACCCCTGGCCCATCGCGTGCCCAGAGGTGGAGCCCAGCCCCCAGCCTAGGGCCTAGGGCCGAGGCGGCAGGAGAGGGGAGGCCCGCGGCGGCCGTCAGGCTCCAGCTGGCCAAGCTTGTGAGGCCGTCGGTGCAGCAGGGCGCCAGCTTCGTCAGCATCAACGGCTCCACTTGGGCGGAATCCCAGACGGCCCTGGAGCAGCTGCTGGACGAGAAGGCCAGGGACGACGTGTACCTCATCCAGGAGACCCGCTTCACCTCGGCGTCGGCTACTGGTTCGGCCCGTGCCTGGTGCAAGAGGAACGGCATCAACGCGGCCTTTGGAGTGTGCCGCAGCACGGGGTTGGCGGTCCAAGCAGTCTCTTCTGGAGTTGGAGTGCTAATCGGGGAACACCGCGGAGTGGCCCCGATCGACCAAGACTGGGGCCTGCACGCCTCAAGGATACTGGCGAGGCGAGTCGCATTCGGAGACCTGGTCGTGGTGTGTGTCAGTCTGTACCTGCAGTGCTCGGTCAAGCTCAATGAGACCAACGTGGACCTCTTGAGTGAGCTGCAAGGATTCCTCCTGGGTTTGAGAGAGCCCTTCGTAGTGGGTGCAGACTGGAACCTGGAGCCCAGCCTCCTTAGCAGCTCGTGGTGGCCTCGAGCCGCGGGGGCGGTGATTGTGGCGCCCGACGAGCCGACCTGCGGGGTAGGCACATATGACTTCTTCGCAATCTCCGAGGTCCTGGCGGGGCTAGGGCCGAAAGTGACGGTGCTAAGGCATGCGACCACGCACCCGCACGCCCCAGTCAGGCTCACGTTCGAGAAGCTGAGCAGCCAGGCGGGTGTCTGGGTGCAGAAGGGCCCCAAGCCCTTTGAGCTGCCTGCGGCCAAGCAGGAAGGGATCCAGCCCGAGCCAGAGGAGGAGGACTCGCTGACGGACTGGAAGGCGCCGCTCCTGGACGAGAGGGGGGGCCCAAACAAGGCGATCATGGAGTTCTTCGACCTGGCGGAGGAGCGGTTGATTCGCAGCTTCGGCATCAAGGACGGCGCCAAGTTCAAAGGCAGGGCGCAGGGGATCAAGAGGGTGCCCAAGCAGCTCATCCACCTCCTGCGCTCGGAGGAAGTGCGAAGGACCAGCCCGCTAACGCGCTGTTGGGTATCCTTGGGGCGCCTAGCCACGCAGCTGGCGGC